GCTGGGCTCATCAAGCCTCAGTTTACTCAGGTACAAAAAGGTATTAACAATAACACTATCACAAAGCTGTCAAAAGGATTAAATGCTCCCGAAATGACAGCTAACATTTAATAGTGTCTACTCTGGGTCAGGCTGTGTTCTAAGAGCTTTACTCATATTAACTCATCTAATTCCCACACCAACCCCACACAGGGCAGCATTTGTAGGTATATTTCACCTACTTTAAGATACATTTTTTCTTTCTGCATTTTAAACACCTCTGAAACTGGGGTACATCTTACGACTGAGAACAAGTGATGGTTTAATTCATAGGGTCTTCTTTCTTAATGGTGCAAGAGGATGGACATGAATGGTTTCTAGAAGTTTTGGGATCTGCCCAAATTAGGAATACTTATTTTCTCTCTGGGTTTTTAATGGCAGTGAGGCGTACGTTTCAGGCATCGAGAGACAGAGCTTGAGAAAGGTATTTTAAACCTTTCTTCTTTTTGCCAAACGCTATTTCTGCATTCCTATTCTAGGGCGTGGAGGCAGGGTTCTAAGCACCCCTCCTTTTCAGCCTTTTCCAAGGCAGAAATCATGGTTGCGTGGTAATCCCACACACAACCTGCTTCTCCCCTCCCCCATATCTAATCCCATTAGTCTTCTTGGGCTTCCTTGGGCAACAAAGGAAAAAGGGACTCCCTGAACAGATTAGGGAGCCCAACATAAGGACGAGCTAGCAGGTGTCTTCAACAAAAGACCTTCAGATAGAGGATTTGCATATGTTATTTATATTCCCTCAGTTGGGGAAAAAAACAAACACCCATGAAGATGCCATACAAGGCAAGTGCCAGTTTGACATTAGTAAGGATACAGCAACCTTCATGCCTGTAAGAAGGGGAGGTGGTGGTTTAGGAGGGCTCTGGGACCTTTTCGTTTTTTTTTTTCTAGAAGTCATCCATTATATGAGCATGCAGCTCAGGGTGGCCACACCTGCTTCCTCTGAGATGCCAGTGATTCCCAGATCCCCCTGGCATTTCATTTTTCTCTTTTTCACGTGTCACTCCCTTTCCTCCTCCAAACAAACCTGGAAATTATTTGAAGCTGGTGACTCTGCCTTACGTCTTGGTTTCTCTATAGCCCTGCAGCCCTGAACAGGACAGTCACTGATCATGGCTTGATTAGTGTGGCAGGACACAGAGAATTTAAACTCTGTGAACTCAGATCCAAGTTCAAATCCCTGCTCTGCGCCTTGCCAGCTGGGTGTCCTCGGGGACCTTTCAGAGCCTCAATGTTGCCATCTATCTCGTGAGGAGGTAATTGTTCATATCTTGAGGGATTGTAGAAGGTTCTGAAAATCACACTCTGGAAAGATTTTCTGGCTCAGAATGTGGCACATCACGGTGAACATACAGTGGGTGCCAACTCTCCTCACCACCATCACGGCTGCAGTTACTAGCTTGACTTACCGCAGACAACAATTCTAATCTCTACATATATTCTTGTGCCTTATCACTCTCCAATTAGCCTAGATTGTGCTTTGAGCTAATTAATGCTTTGCTATAGCTCTACAAACCTGAAATTCCTAGCTTCATGGTCTTTTGCGTGTGAGCCAAGGGCACCCTGGGATCTTCATTATTTTCCAGAAAGTGGGGCAGGAGGCAGAAGAGTTTTGATAAGGCTTTTGTGCCTGAGATCTTAGACTATCCAATAGTTCCCTGGACGCCTTCCTCCCATCCCTTAACCTCCCTGAGTCCCACTACCCTGCTCCCAAGAAAGAGGTGATTGTTTCCACCTCTATCTTCCTCTACTCTCTCCATCTCGCTAGACACTGTCAGGAGGAAAACCCGGTTGCATTCACTCGGGTAAAATGCAACCCTGTTACCCCTGTTGCATTCACTCCTCCCCAAATTCAACACACACGCGCGCGCGCACACACACACACACACACACACACACATACACATGCATGCATACACGCAAGTCTGAGTTAGCTGTCCCTTCTCTTTGCTCCCACAACAGCCCATGCTACTTCCCTAGTGGATCATTAATCACCCTGAATTATAATGCTCTGTTTCTTATCTCTTTCGCTTGCCATCTCAAACATACCCGCTATAGATTGTGAGATTTTTGAAGGTGAGTCTCATTTTTTACAAGAACAAATGTTTAGCACATAACAGAGGTTCCATAAATCCTTACTAAAGAAATAAAATGGCAACATAACTGAACTCCAGGGTGTTTTTACTACATGTTAGGAACTGTGCCAGGAACTCATTTAATGCTCCTGGTGATCCCATGAGGAGGTACTATGATATCCCCACTTTACAGATGGCAACACTGAAGCAGAGAAGTTCTGCAAGTTGCCCAAGGCCACGGGGCTGCTAAGAGGCAGATCCAAACCCCAGCGGTTTGCGGCCTCTGCCCCTGCTCTGATACTCACCCTTGCTGCTGAAATGCCTATCTTCCTTCACATTCTTTCTCTCATTTTCTTTCCCCCAGTTTGATGCTGGGAAGTTCAGTCCCAGAGGGAGCTGCTCTAGATCAGACACACTTCAGAGCTGTATTCTGAGATGAAAGGCGATGCAGGGAGGCTGTACCTTACAGAGTGACCTCATTAAGAGTGCTGAGCAATGAGGGCTGCAAAGAGGTGTGTTAAGCCTTAGGGAACTGCAGCTTGGAACATTTTGGACCACATGCAAAACACTGGTGAGTTTTAAGCTCCACTCGGCCTCCCGAAGCCCCCACTGCCCAGGTCCTCCTTCCTGGGGTACGTCTCGGAACCACAAGGCGTGCCACTGTAGGTGGACCAGCGTCACCCCTCTCCCACTGCCTACCTTGGGAAATCCATGCCACATGGGAGTTTGAAGATACAATAACAAAGGCACACTTACAATGTGCCTACCTAGTTATGCTCATTTGCAAACAGAAACTCCAGTCATTCAATACATATCCATTTTTCTTTGTTTTTTCAAATCAACAACACTGTTTCCCATCCTACAAGCACATTATCAAGCGTTAGCATCACACAGAGCTATTTCCATATCTTACTCCATTTAGTCCTCACACTGCCTCACTGATAGTCCTCTTCCATTTTCATGGACACAAGGAATTAAAGTCTCAGGACGCTAAGCAACCTGTCCAGTGTCACATGCCCGGTGAGTAGCAAACTCAGACTTCAAACCTAATAGTTCAACACTTGGCAGCCTCTCTGCAAAGACCGAGGGTGTGAATGTTCCCCGAGCCCCATGGATCTCTGAAATAAGTTCTGTGGTGGCAAATCTACAATTCATCTTAATTTTTTCCCTGATGTTCTACAGTGTCACTGCTTATTTATTCCGTCATCCTGGAATTACTGGCTAACAGGATGGCCCACTTCACTGTTCTGGTTCGTGTTTTTAGTCTTTAAGGGAAACCAACCATTAATAGCGACAGGGATGTGTCTGACAATTTAATTACATCATGACTCTTCTCTCTTTCCCACTCCCTTGTTGGTCTGGAGGCTAATACCGTTTTACTTTTTTCTTAAAAACACATCTGGTTTTGGCAGTGAGGGGAGACTTACCTGCGCTACATTCTCTGAGGCATTAATGGACCAGACAGCCCCTGCATTGGGAGAACTCTGCAGCCTCTTCATGGCTGGTACCTTGGTCATCTTAAAAATCCTTAGGGTTTAGCCTGGGTCTCCAAGAAAAGGTTTTGTTTTTTGTTTTTTGGTTTTTTCCCCCAGAATCTTCTACTTCAGCAGTCACAGGGGTGAGAAGTTCCAGCAATTTCTCCCTTATTCTCAAGTCCTAATGACACAGACTCCAAAGGGTTTTCTATTTGAGGAGGAACATGGGGAAAGCAAGTCATTTGAGCCTCCCACAGACAAGATAAGGAAGTCCAGATAGGGCAGAATCAGGAAAGCTTGGAATTATTTACTTTTTGGAAAGTTACACACTTCTATAAGCTTTCTCCCTCTTCAGAAGGGATATCTTTCTCTTCTACAAGCAAAATAAAATATGAACTATAAAAAAATAAAATTCCTGTGATAAAGTGTAAGGGGGCCCCATGAAGGGGCCCGAGGTCCCATTCTCTTAAGAGCCCCCGTAACCGCCGGCTGCCAGAGCGGCTAGGCGACCTCTAACTGTAAGGAAGGAGCCCGTGGGGTTGCCTGGCAACGGGACGCCGAGGAGGCCATCCTCATTGGCTGGGATTGGTGGGGGCGGAGTCGCGGACTCCACTAGGCCCTGAGCAGGTGGCTAGCAGCAGAGCGAACATTCTCCAAACTCTGGTTTCTCCCCTCGCACCTGACTACATTTTCTTTCAAACTCTTCTCTGTGCTGCCGCTCACTCACTAGTGATTTCTTGCATTTGGGTTGGTTGGCCTTTAGCCTTTCAATTCTTAAACTGAGATGCCTACTTTTCCCCCTTTTTCCACCCGACAAACTCCTATTCATCCTTCAAAGCTCATCTATATGTATACACACATACATAAACATCCACACATACGCAAAGATATGTGTATATGTATTCATGACATTCATCGAATGCCTAGAATGTGCTAGGCCCTGTTCTGCTTTACCTGTACTTAGTCCTCACCCCTTTAAGGAAGGTGCGTTGGTACCCTGTTTTACAGACTAGGCAACTGAGGTAGAGACATTAAATGACATGCTCTCGGTCATGCAGCAAATGTTTGAGCAGGAGTTCAAAGCCAGAACTGTATGATTCTAAAGCCCAGCTTCTTAATCACTCTGGTGCCTAGCTTTGCCCAGCTTTGGCTTCCATATCTTTAAAATGAGGATGATAGCTAGATCATAAGTTACTAAAGATTAAAGTAGATCATGTATCTAGAGGCTGAGCACATGGGGAGTCATTGTTAAGTGGTACTATTATTATTCCTTGACATTACTTCCCTAGGAAGAATTAGGCATTCTCGTCATGCTGGCTTCATTTCACAGAAAATATTAATATTAACTAATTGTTATTGATCACTTGCTCTGTGTTAGCTACTGCATTAAGCACATTACATATATTAATTCATTTAATCCTTCCAACAACCCTATGGGGTAGGTTCCCGGCCTGCAGCAGATTTACTGCAGATGGCAATAAATGTTTTGATTTGAATGCCTTATCCTTGGCATTATTTTACACTGGATCGATCTGATTCGTGTTTCTGCTGAGGATTATGATATCATCATGGCTCATTTTCTCCCTAGAAGGTGTCCACTGTAAGGTGACACTCCACAGAATGCAAAATGCCTCGCCATACACCTCCTGATGCTGATGCCTGAAAGTCATTATTTTCTCCACCATTGTCTGAAGGCTGAATCTGACCTTCTCTTTCACAGGAAGTTTTGGTCCTCCTGCTTCCTTTGTGGGCGGCAGTGAGCAATCAGCAAGTGCTTTCAGAACAATGCAGATAAAATGGAACCATGTTCAGAAGATAGGGCTGGAGATGAGGGGATGAGAAAACAAGATAGAATGGGAAATGGCCAGCCCTGAGTGGAACAAACAAAGGCTTGTCTTCACAGGGTTTTCTGGGACAGGCTTGGCTAGTTTTATAAGAGCCCAGAGAATAGGAGGAGGGTTTTGGCTCAATATGAAGAAACACGTATGCAGCAGAACATCATTGTAAAAGATGTGACTTCTGGATTACCCAAACAGGGTAATCCACGTACAGCACAATGCTTAGCACAAAAGAAGTGCTCGATGTTAGCTCTTACTTCTTTTTTTACTAATACTCACCCATCGGAACCATGTGAGAGTTGGAAATGGGAAGGGCTCTTGAGTTGGAAAGACCTGTGTTCAAATCATGGTTCTTCTGTTTATTGGCTATAAGACCTTGGTTAAATCATTTCACTTCTCAAAGCCTCTATCTTATCATATAGATCAAATTCATGGATAGTGATTGTTGTGCCCATCTGAAGCCTGTTACAGTAAAACAATCAATGTTTTGAGTCAAGTGCCCCCCCCAAAAGCTCAATACATTTTATTTCCTTTCTAGGACTATTCCACAGGGAAGGAATGAACTTCCCAGCAGTAGAGGTGTTCAACCCAATGCCATGTGGCTTCCTGATAGGTGAATGAGACTCAAATGATCACTGGGGGTTATTAGACTAGATAACATTTAAGGCTATTTCTAAACAGAGCTTGAGAGGCAATGTGGAATACTAACTGAGCCAGTATTTAAATCCCAACTTGGCCACTTACTAGCTGTGTGACTTTAACAAAGTAACTTAACTTCTCAAAGGTTTTTCTCATTATTGAATGGGGATAATAGTACCTATAGTAACATTTAGCATAGTACATGGCACATGATAAATGCTCAATAAATGTTAGCTCTTGTTACTTTATGATCATATGGATCAAAATATTTTCTAGAATGGTCTAGTGCTCTTTGGGTTCAAGTAGAATTAAGAAAAACTCCTGGGCCTCGTGGCATCTCCCAATCTAGTTGGGTGAAAAAGACTTAAACACACACATAAACACACACTCTCAATGACAGAGTGTACAAGAGGGCATGCTGATTGGTATTTTCCAAAAAGATGCCAGAATGAGATTAGATGTGCAAGAGATTTATTGGAGGAAATGATTGTGAAAGACAAAGGGGAAGGCAGGGGTAAGCAGGGAGAGACTTTTGAAGGGGAGAAGGAAGGAAGGATTGCGTAGGAAGAGTTATAAACTGAAACACAGTTATGAGAAAGTTTTGACCAGGCTGAGTGGGAGCCCCAGAGCCAAAGTTGCCTTATAGATGAATCTCCCCCTGGACCATGGTTCTAGGACTCCTGCCCTGCTCAGTGATTGACTAGGAACATATGGGGTTGGGGGTGGAATGTGTGCAATGGATTCAAAGGATGTAGTGAACGCAAAGGGGCAGCTCTTGTTAATTGGCTACGCTTCCTGCAGCATTCTCCTGGTGAGACATGGGAGCTAGAGACCTCCTTGGTCATTCCAAGACATGTTTTGTGCTGTACAGATTCACTTTAGGGTACATGTTGAAGGGGCAGAAATGGGGAGGGCACATTCCTTTAGTTGGTCATTGGGTGTGAAGGGCAGAGGGACCACCGTGCTTCTACTTCTTGGATCCTAATCTATGTATTGGTCTTATTGGGGACACAACATCACAAAGGGGTCTCAGGTTTGATGTGTACACTTCTAATTGCAAGAGAGCCCCCCATCCTTGCAGTATATTGCTTCTAAGCTGGTGCTTCAGCTGTGCTTTCAATAGGCTAGTCCATAACTCTATGAAGCCAGAGGGTGGTGTGGTAACACAGCTAGATCCTATGTCCTCTGTGAAGTAGGTTTCTAGTGCTTAGAGTTTCTGTGGGCACAGAGGGCAGCGGTGGTAGCACATCCTCGGAACCCAGGCCATTCTCCCTCAACACTCACAGTTCCCAAGAGAACTGCTCGCTGCCATGTCACCTGAGACCTTCCTTTGGGACGACAGCAGAAGTTTCCAAACTTTTTTAGTTCGTTATATTCTTTGCCTCTCAGTAATTTTTTCATGGTACCTCTAAGCCAAAAGAAATATCCGAAGAATCTCATTTTTTAAAAGTAGTTAGGTCTGTACAACTTAGTGAGCATTTATATCCTAACCATTTGGAAAACATGCAAATACATTGAATAATATTTGTATCTCATTCTTCCAATTTTAGTGTATGTGCTGCCTAAGTGAGCACAGTATTTGATTCTCAAAGCCAACTGCTTCCCACGGGGACATGTGAACCTGGTGGGGGGCACTGCACAACTTCCCAAAGCTTGGGATCAGATTAGAAACCACCACCTTTATTTTCTGTGGCAGATTACATTTTTCACAGTTCTCACTTTTTATCCACAGCAACTGTGATAAAAACCCAACTTTTCAAAGATATATCATATATACATGGGTGTCATGTAATCTAATGTTGAAACTGAGTGTATGAGTCAGCTATAGCTGCCATAACAAAGTGCCACAGCCTGAGTGCCTTAGACAATGAAAACTTATTTTTTTACAATTTGGGGGGGTAGAGGTCTGAGATCAAAGTGTCGGCAGGGTTTATGATTTCTAAGGTGTCTTCTCCGTGTCTTCACATGGTCTTTCCTTAGCACTCATCTGCGTCCCGTTTTCCTCTTTTTGAGAGGACTCTAGTCCGATTAGATGAAGACCCACCCTAATTACCTCATTTTAACTTAATTATCTCTCTAAAGACCCAATCTCCAAATAAGGAGACATTCCAAGGTACTGGGTGTTAGGACTTCAACATAGATGACTTTTAGGAGGACATGGTTCAGCCCATAAGACTGTGGTAAGTAGGAATTGCTGTGTTTCCCTCCAAAATTAAAAATGCCCCTAGCCTTCTCTGTAAGTTTGCCTTGGCACCCTGAGGCACCTTGGCATGGAGTTTTGGAACCACAGGGCTATAGGAATGTATACTGCTTTTGAGTAGAGCAGGCTGGAAGTGCAAAAATTAACACCCACAGGAGTAGCTGTGAAGCAGTAACTAAGGGGAGTGTGTGTGAATAAGTAGCCCTGACTCCTTGCCCCTCAGGTAAAACAATTCTTCTTGTTTTAAAATCTCAGACTGATATGAGGTATAAATATTTAAGTTACATTGTTTCCATTTCTAAGGTAAATTTCAAGTTGTAGTTGAGCCCTTCACTGGGGAGCATGCTGAACACACATTGTGCACA